ATTGTGTCTACATTTGAGGAAATGAAATGAGGCAACCGAATAACCATTGTGAATAAAGCAAGATTTAAAAAGGCAAAAAAGGCAGGGACAGAAATTACACACAAACTGATATAAGTGATCAGAAACCAGTTCAAATCTGTAACACAACAGAAGTTCAGTGCACATAAACCACTTTCAAAATGGCCAAAACCGGTTTAAAATAAACCTGGATAGATGTAGTATCAGACTTAACCGATTTAGATTTAATCAGTTTATTGAACTTCTATCTCACATCCCCTCCAGATTCAAGCTGCCTGCTCCAGCTGAGTGGGGGGGCGTGCTTTAGCTCCCCACTGCTTCTGGTCTGGGCCATCGCAGGCTTGTGGCTACATTTCTGGAATCAAAAGTGAATATCTGTTCACTTGCTTATTGGTTCAATCTCTGCAGTTTAGACTAACCTGCAAAGACAGAATTGATTCAGCCTTGGGCTTTTTGACTGTCTGTACTTAGCCTAAGACAGCTATACCACCTAGCCAGACTTCTATAAAAAAACAGGTCATTCTGCAATTCACAGCTTCCAATCATAATTCTGTTTTGTTGTTATTACACAGGCCTACCTTTCTCAACAAAGTCTGAATTATTTTTCACTGGGGGCATCTATACATGCATTAATGAGCTTTTACTAATGTACATTAAATTTAGTACCTCCAATATGAGGTACTAAATTAATGCTCATTAGGCTGTGCTAATGCATAACAGTGCAAGCACATGCTTTTTTAGTGATGCACATTAGCATATTAGCACCATTTTTTTTACATGACGCTTCAATGCGCAGTAGAATAGGCTACTGCACATTAAAGTGCACATGTAGATGTGCCCACTGTATTCACTCTATTCAAGGTAAGAATCAAGGATTCATATGCTATGAAAACCGGGACAGGATAAAAGGCCTATATCCTCTTGGATTTAATTACTGATGATGGGTTATAAACAACAGAGGAAGGGATAGGAATGTAAGACAAAAAATATTAATTTAGAAATCAGGTGGTGGTGTGTCATTTTCCCTCCGTGTTGTTTTATTGGATGTTCCTTCCTCTGACACAATCAGAGAAAGCACACCTTCTTGATTTCTGATATGTTCATCATGGAATGCATTTGAACTGTTGTTCACAGGAGAATTCTAAATCCAATCTTCAGTCATGCAGAGCTAGTGGAATCATTCATTCTATGCCCTTAAATAATTAGGATTATTGGTCCTTTTAAACAATAGTTTTAGCACTTGCAGCACAAATATGCCAAAAGACAGAATACAAATTTAAAACATAAAGAAAAATAAATGGACAATAGTGGGATGTAGAAATACATTACAGTTTGTACCAGTAATAGTAGTAGTAATACACCTAATGTAAATCTTAACTTGGGAATAGGCAGGTGTTTCATAATTGGACAAAATAAAAGCTATACCAAATAATGCTTTGCCCTTTCTTGGAGCAAAAGAAAATAGGGCTTTTATTAATATGTTAGATAAGTTTATATACATATAAGAGAATCTCTTATATGAAGAGAGTCATAACTTGTCAAGCAATAGAACATGATTTTTGTGAATGGTTCTCCTGAAGACAGTGTTGCTGAATAAAGAGCTTAAGAAAGAACACCAAACATTTTCAACTCCTGCGCAAAAATAATTTCTAGAACCCTAACTTTTAGACTCATGTTATTGTTTGTTGTCTTGTAATGGGAAAATAACCTAAAGGAAGGATGAAAAATAAGCAACAATTTACAGGATTACTTCAGAAGTCTTTAAGAAATCTTCTTTGCTTTTCTTTAAATTAATATCTGATGACAATGAACACTCAAATTCCAGAAATCATACCTCTCCAGGAAATCACTTTATTTCATCCCTTCTTTTCTTAAATAAGGACTGGGTTAATCATATGTTTAGGTAATTTTTAAATTGGGCCCTTAGGGTCTAAGCATGCATCTGCTTACTACCGGATGTATTGCTTACTATCTGAAAGTGCAAGTTTGGGCCAAAGTTGATACAGAATACTATGTCATACTCATTAGATATGGAATTTATTTTCAACAAGCAGTGTTCCCTTAGGTATTAAAATAATTTACCTCCAAGTATATTTATGCTTCAACTTGCAAGAATTGCCCTCTTCACCTTTTTATATTCAGTAGTTTAGTGTTTCTTGTTTTCCTTTAAATATTATTAGATTAGTTAGAGAGGTAAGTTGACATCTATTTGTAAGAGAGTTTTTCTTTTAATTAATGTGCCTTTATGTTTATTGTTCACTGGACAAAACTGTGTTAATTATAGTTGTGCAAACAGTTAGCTTAAACTAAGCAAACTGAGTGCTGAAAAAGCCAGTGGGAACTGCAAGCGTTCATTATCTTTAAAAAAACAGGACTTAATTGTTTTTAAAAACCAAGAAGTCTTCGTAATAGGCTAGTAGATTTATATTCCCTCTCATTTATAGTGTTACCACATAACATGCAAATTATATTACACATTTTCACAGTAAGATACAGAAACAAATGGAAAACTCAAGTAAAGCAATGATTTCTAATAACCTCCCTCATTACTTTTTTTTACCCTTTTTAGCCAACTTGCTACAACTTATTATTCATAGAATCCAAGAAAAGCAGGGCTGGAAGGAACCCCAGGAGGTCTAGCCCAAACCCTGGTCGAAGCAGGATCATTCTTGTCTAAACCATCCCAGTCAAGCATTTGTCCAAACTACTCTTAAACACGTCCAAGGATGGAGACTACTCAACTTCTCCGGGTAGCCTATTCCAATGCATGCCCATTCTCAAAGTGACAAAGTTCTTTAAAATAACCCAATACATTTCCTTTCCTGCAGTTTAAGACTATTGCTCCTTGTTCTGTCTTGTGCAGCCCCTTTATAACCACTCTAAGTATTTGAAGATTGTTACCAAATTTTCCTTAGTCATCTCCTCTCCAGACTAAATAATCATAGTTCTTTCCTCATAATTTATGTTTACCAAACCTCTAATCATTTTGTTGTTCTCTGCTGGACTCTTGTTAATTTGTCTATGTTCGTCTTGAAGTGTGAGGCCTCAAATTGGATATAGCACTCCTGGTGAGGCTTCACCAGTGCTAAATAGAGAATCACTTCCCTTGACTTGAAAAAGCAATGCTCTTATAGCTCCCACTGGGCTAGTGACCTTTTGTGCAATGAGAGCACACTGTTGGCTCATATTCACCCTGTGGTTCTCTTCTTCAGTACTGCAGTCTAGCTAGTCCTTCCCCAGTCTGTATTTGTGCATTCAATTGTTCAGTCTCAAGTGCAGGACTCTGCACTTGTCCTATTTAATTTAATTCAATTGATTTTGTACTATTTCTTCAGTTTATTAAAGTCATTCTGAATCCTAGCCCTACCTTCCATAATCCCTGGAATTCCACCCAACTTGGTTTCATCTGTGTCCCGGGGGAGAGCGGGGGAAAGAACCCCAAACACTGACTGGGGGCCCCCTGGGGTGGGGAGCATGCATAAAAAGAGGGAAAAATACAAAAATAACTCAAACAAAATGCTTACCGGCAGCAGGACCCATGGCACAGCTGGAGCAAGAAAGGAAATCCGCACGGGTCACAAGCCGCACCTTTATTCAGCTGAAACCGGCCGGTGATGTCATTGGCAATCACCGGCCGGCAGAGATAAGACGGACCGCCAGGGAAGATGGGGGGAGAGGTGGAGCAGAGTCGGGGAGGACTCCGATGCCGGATGCCATCCGGAATACCCCGAGAGAGCCGACAGGGGCTCTCTATACCAGCAAGCAACAGCAAGGTGAGGAGACGGGGAGCCGGAAGAGGCTGTCCACACCGACAAGGACAGGAATGTCAGAGGGACGGGCGAGCCAGAAGAGGCTCTCTACACCAATAGAAGTGGGAGCGTTGGGGGAATGCGGGAGGTGAAGGAGGCTCCCCCTCCGGATGGAGACAGAAGGGAGCAGCAAGGGGAGCTGCGGAGCAAAACAGCAAGAGGCTGGGTGCCAGCCCATAACATAAGAAGTAGCCGGGTACATGGGGGAAATACCGCAGGACACCGGAAGCTGAACGTTTCCGACACTGGAGAAGGACAGCAGCGGCACATACCACACGTGGCAGAGTGAGGGGCAAAACGATCCAGTCTACGCTGACCATTCAATGCACCAAACCCCATGATCATAGAGAGCAAAGGTTACTCTGTTACCCTAACAGAAGGGCAGGGGAAAGGATCAGACGGGTCCTTCCTGACTTAATTTGTGTTGGTTTTTCCTTTTTAGTTCCCCCCTTTTGGAAGGGCTGAGACGCAGGGCGAGGCGATGCAGGCAGGGTAGCATGGTATCATATTTTCCGTTATCCTCCACCTTTTATTGGAGTGCTGGTTAAATTGAGAGTCCCAGGCTGGGATTGCGTTGAGACAGGAGGGAGTGATTTTCTGAAACCCTACCACAGTCTGAGTTAGTTATTTCAGGAAGCAGGGCCTAGAATGTGATAGAGCTACAAAAGCCACCAAGTTCCAGGGATTCAACATCATCAGGGGTATGGCCCAGAAGACCTGGTCGCCCTCCGGAGGTTGGCATGAGGTTAGGGTGTAGGGGAGGTGGAGCCTCACGGACGACCGCCGGGCAGACTTCCCGCTGCAGCAGAGCCCTGGGTGCTTGCCCCCTCCACTGGTATAACACTCAAAGTCATGGCAGACGAGATTGGGGGAGGCCACCCAGGTGCTAAACGGCTGTCCGCCAGCCTACAGGAGACCGTAGAACATCTTCTACCGGCTGCCCGGACCAAGGCCGCACATGGTATGTTCGAAGCCAGGCGGACACAATCTGCAAATTTTGTGTGTGTGCACTCAATCCTATATTCAAAATAATTAATGAAGATACTACACTTGATCTGAGCCTTCAAGAGGCCCAGAAAGACCGTTGGGGAACTCCATTAGATGCCTCCTCCCAATTAGACATCACCTATTGAGTGGAATAATCCAACCAGTATCCAGCTTACTGTACTTTCATCTACTGGCACTACTTTATTAACATTTTAATGCGCATGTAAGTAATTCCAAAAATACATTGTTTTTGTCTCAGTAATTTAATACATTTTTACATTTTCACTCCTAAGTCATTCCTTAAAGATAAATAATTACAAACAAACCCATCTGCTGTGGTACCATTGTTCTCCACATTCATTGCAAACAACATAAGTCATCATTTGTTCATCTGGATTTGCATTTCGCACCCAACTAGGAAGAAAGAGAGTTCCCCTAGCAATCATTGTGACAGTACAGTCAAATTTTTCACAGCGCCTACATTTGATTTTGTTTGTCTGTGTACCACTAATGACTTGGGGAAGCTGATGTTCCTGAACAGACGATTCTGTGTATGAAGCCCTGAGCTGCTTCAGTTCATCACTGGCCATTTCCATCACTGTCATCTCAGCAAAAACTTTTGGATTCAAAATCCCTGAAAACAGGTTATGTTTTAAGTGGGAACTTTTAGGATTCCTCAAGTTAGACACTTTGCTTCTGATACAATTTTTGTACTTTTTGTCATTTTTAGTATGCAGAACAAAAATATGCTCTTCAATTTCTTTGGCTAATTTTTGCAACTTATTGGTTTCTTCTTGGCTTAGGACAGACTCAGTCAAGGCTTTATAAAGAAGTTCTGTGCATTTAGACCTCATGACCTCCACATGATCTTGTGGTGAGCTTGTTGTATTAACAACAGGTGTAGCATCTTCATTACTAGAGCACTGTTCTTCTAAAAGCTGCTGCTGATCTGTATGGCTTTTTGGTTCGTTACATATTGGAAGGTTTTGTGACAGTAGAAAACTCTTAGAATCATCAGGGTTTAATGGGTTCTGTTCAGTCAGTTCTTCTGAAGCCCCTACAGTTACACTGAAGTGTTTACTGTCCTCTTTCACATTCCCCAAAACTGACTTTTTACTCTGTATTGACTGAAAGCAACTACTTGTGTAAACTGTTTTCCATTTTGATAGTAAGTTCTTTGCTTTCCTTTTCAATCCTGTTGAAGGGCAATTCTTGAGTACTCTATACACAGCTTTGGCAACATCAGTCTCGTGAAGGTATTCTGTAGTCCTATCAAGAGCTTCAAGCTCTATGAGGTGATTATCAATATCTTGATAATTGTTCTCAGAGAGTAGCTTCTCAATAGCATGGGCTCTGTGTATAACAGTTTTCCTATCAGACATTTTTTAAACCTGAAAGTAAAGTAACAGTTAGTTACAACTTTTGTATACAGTTATTATGATTATTGTGCCTATTCACACATCTTTTGGAATCTTTCATAAGATTTTTGTATTTCATGTTTTATTTTATTCCTACTTGGGTAAAAATGACCTGCAAAAGCTGTCTTTTGTTCCATGATTACAAAAGTAAATACAAAGAAACTCTCAACCACTAAAAATAAATTGAATGCATAGCTTAATCATTGCAACCTCAATTGAAGTTTTGAAATGATGGACTTTGCACTGTGTCCCTAACATTAATACTTCTGTAGGATTATTGGGGAATAATAAATTCTGAACCTGAGAGGTCTGCATTAAGCGTGCCAAATCAACAGTCCTGTGGTTTGTCAATCTAGGTATTCTTAGCAAGAGTCAACTGCTATAATGGCACATAAAGAGAAATGAAAACTTGCTAATACAGGGGAGGGCAACATACATACCGTGGGCTAGATATGGTCCACGGAAGGGCTTTGTCTGGCCTACAGCAGGTCCCTTGGTCCCATCTGGCCCAGGCACCGTCCCACTGTGATGCATCCTACCACTCCCTGGCCATGCAGCAGGGCTATGGCATGCAGCAGGACTGGGGCAGATGACAAGGGCTCCTTCTGGCTACCACCGCCCCTGGGCCCAGCCCCACAGAACTGGTGGGGACCCGTGCACAGACCCACCCCACGCCTGCTGTGGACTCGCATGCTCATGCTGAACAGCTGCAGCAGCAGCACCAGTGGGGGAGAAGTGTGTTGGGCATGGGGGAAAAGCAGCCGCTTCCCTTCACTACTGCCCAGCCCCTTCCCTTCACTACTGCCCAGTGCTGGGCAGCCTAGCATGGGCTCCACATGGCTACTGCAGGAAGCACTGGGCAGCAGTGAGGGGGAGGGGGCCACTTTTTCCCCATGCCAAGCACACTTCTGCCCTGCCGGCGCTGCTGCAGCTGTTTAGCATAAGCAGACGAGTCCGCAGCAGGCACAGGGTGGGTTGGGGCTGTGCACAGGTCCCCACCAGTACCGTGGAGCTGGGGCCAGGGGTGGCGGTAGCTGGAAGGAGTTGCAGCTGCCCAGGCTGCCTAGAAAGGCAGTCCAGCTGTGGAGCCACCGCGGCCCTGCTGCATGTCCAGGGGGCAGCAAGATACACCACAGCTGGGTGGTGCAGAGCAGGCACAGGGCACGCTGGGGCTGAGTGCTGTTGGCAGTGATGAGGTGGTGCCACAGGCTGTGCAGGCTCTGGGCTGCTGTGGGATGGGGGCGGGTGCTCAGGGGGGCATGTGTGGGGGACTCCCATGCACATGCCAGCATGCCCACAAACCGCCCCCTGCAAACCCTAGAACCACATCCTCCCCCATGCACAATCACAAACCCCACAAACACCACATCCACCCACAGCCCTCCCCACATGTACCCCTCCCACACACCCATGCGCCTCTGGAGCAAGCCCCACTCACTGCTGCGCACACTGCTACGTGCACCCCATCACACAAGCACTCACACACACCCTCCCTACACACCCTAACCCCCACACCCTCCCCAGCCCCTCTCCTTCTCCACACCCCACAAGCCCCACACATACTTACACATCCCCACACACACCCACATCCCCCCACAAACCCCATACCCACCTACCCACATCCATACATACCCCTACACTCTCCTCCACATCCTACATCCACACACACACAGAGCCCTCCACAAGCCTCCATACCCGCCCACTGACATCTATACATACCCCACACCCTCCTCCATGTCCTACATCCACACACACCCACAACCCCCCACAAACCCTATACCCACCCACCCATACCCCCCTACTACCCTCACAATATACAAGAGTAAGACTTTATTTTGAGCTATTATGCAATCACCTATTATACATCACACAGAGGGCAAAAATATCTTTTTAAAATAAAATAAAAATGTTATTGGGGATGTTTAATTTTTTTGTATATAATTTGTTTTTTAATGGTTCCAAGATGGCAACCCCCCTTTCCAAAAGGTGTACTTCTGGGGCAAGGGGAGAGACTTCCAGTGGCAAAGGTTGGGGATTCGGGGGTGGGACTTCCAGTCCCAAGATGGTGACCAGGCGGCGGGGCACCTGTCAAGGGCCAGGGCTACACTTGTGGCCCTTGACAGCTCACCAAAACTCGTTAAGCAGCCCTCCAGCCAAAATATCTGCCCGCCCCTGTGCTGATAGGACACAAGCCTCAAAGGACTTTATACATCAACAACTTGAATTTCACCAAGAAGCAAACAGGGACTTAATATCTTCTTTGGAAAATTGGTGAACTAATAGCATGATGAATCTGAGATCTGTTGACATTAAGGGTACCGACAGTGTTCAAGGGTAGAGTCATATAGAGAATGCCAAAATAAACTGATTTAGAGGTTACAGTTGTGTGGATAGTTAAAGCAAGGTCCATATTTGAGAAAGCCTGTTGCTACTGTCTTTTGAGATACAGATGAAACGTATTCTCCCTCATAAAATAAAATTGCCACTGACTTTGTATAGTTCAGCTTTTGGGATTTACTACACTTCCCAAAGTTCTGATATCCTTATTTTGGTTTTCTATTGTAATTCATCTTTAGGACAAAGAAAGAAACTCTGAACTGGGCTCTCTTACATTTACCTATGTACATGGTCAGGAGCCAATTTTTGTGCCAATGCATGTCTTACTACTTTTGACATACATTGGAAGTATACATCAAGAACACTTATAGACAACCTGTACACTGACATATTTTATTGTATTAAAATCAACCATCAATGCTCATATTAAAATGTACAGCAGATACAGTAATTGGCAACTCCTTTTATTAAACTTTTCACATGCCTTCATTATATTAGAAAAATAAAATTATACAGCTAATGTGTGTATATTGTTTCAACAAACATTTTCTGACCAGGAAAATAAATGTAATCTAAAATGGAATTCAGAATGGATTTTCCAGGCAGCTGCCACAATTTTCATGCTTTTGAAGTACTGGATTTTTTTGCAGTTATTACTGCAAAGAGATAAATAAATGTAACTGGAAGGTGGAAAATCAAATCCTGGGAGGTTAGCAGGGAGACGAAATAAGATTAGTGAACTTCAAAATGGGGTGGTCTAATATGCATTTAGTCCTACTAGCCCTGTCAGTGACTACAGAAAGTAAACACTTCATTTAGAGAACCAGGTTTATTTTACAGTTATAATAGGTTCCAGAATAGCAACTCACATATTAATAACCGCTGACTGTTCTTTTTGCAAGCTCTTTAAGACAAAGGACTTTCCTTGTATTTTCTGTAAAATACCTGAGCTACATATTAAGCTGCAGACATAATGCTTTCACAGGACAAGCTTGCATGAGGTCTTATTTGCATCAAAATGAAAAATAAAGGGCATTAAGAATGCAGTCATGTGATTTGACTGGGGGGGGCGGTTCTCATTATCTTCTGACAAAATTCAGAGTCCTTAGAAAAACTGTACAGCAGACTAGCAATACTAACATTTTCTCTGCTTTGATGTCGATCATAAGTTTAAACTTGATGAAATATAGTCTAAAGTGCACACCTGCCCTTGTAAGTTTAGTGAAAGAAGGACAGTTGCAGGGATCAATTGTACCAAAAGTAGTGTTTTATCCACGTATCTCTTCTCATGCTGGCCAGCTGAAAAAACCTGAGACTGACAGTAACTTGGTTGAGTCCTTAAGAAACTTAGGTCTGTTACATACTTCCATCCTCAATCAAAGTCTCTCACTGTAGTGCTGTCAATGGTGAACTGATAGAATTCAGCAACACAACTTGGGATGGGCAAGTAGGCAGGGCTGGACATAGGCATGGGCAAGCCGGGAGGCTGCCTGGGGCCTGGACAGAAAGGGGGCCTGAAAATCAAAGACTTTTGCAACAAAAAACCCCCTTATTTCTGGCAAAGGGGTGCCCAATACTAAAAGTTCGCCTGGGGCCTCCAGGAGTCTAGGTACAGCACACCAAGTGGGATACCATCCCTGAGTGACAGATTAGTAGGGATGCCAGTATCACCCCCACCCCTTTGGAGTCAGCAGGAGAAGCAGCCCCATGCACAACATCACTCTTGCAGCAGCAGCTGGGTGTGTGGACACCATGCTGCTGCTGTAAGAGCAACAGCCAGGGTCACGCTGTCCTCCACTCCCATGTGCTCTCTTGGAGGGTTTACCCAGGGTGTAAACCATGCTCATTATGCCTCTGATAGAATTCACATACTCTGCAGCCCTATGCAGGCAGAAACCACACTTCCTAGTCTGATTTATGCTCCTGATCAGCCTCCATGCTCTCAAAGGCTGTTTTCAAAGGCTGGGAGCGGGGAAAGGGCTGAAAATGAGAGAGAAAAAAATGATTGGGGAAGAAAGAGTGAGGGAGAAATCAAAGAGAGACATCTGAAGGACTCTGAGAGATGACAAATGGCTAGAGGAAATGTGAGGAAAGAAAGACAGGGAAAATATGACCATCAAGAACTACAAGAAAGAGGGATGGTCAGATTTTCTTATCTTTCCCCCCAAGTGCCATTCCCTTTGGTTCAAGCCTCCCTTTTAACCATCATAAATATTCCCAAAATAGCCTACACTGCCTGAACTTCTCCTGGAGCATACATTCTAGTTTTTCACTTTGAAAAACACTCACTTTGAAGATCAGCTGGACAGAACAAATCTACTGTGAAGGCTCTTGTGATCTAACTCATGACATTTTTCAGAATGAAAGAAAACTCTGTAGGCACATAGAGTACACATTCATAGAGTAGAGGGAGTTAAAGACAGTCTTGAAGCAGACAGCACCAGGGAAAATGTAGATTGAAGTGAATATACAAATTAGTAACAATCTACACAACTGTTCACTGGGAAAAACTAAAGCAAGAAGCTCAACTATTTTTGTAGAAGGAACCCATCAATACGCTTGATGGAACTTTTCAACTTGTAGAGTTACAAAGATAATTTTCTGCAAGTGAACTAAATGTGAACCTTTTAAATGTGAAATTATGTAAACTAGCAGTTCCCAATCTGTGGTATGCATATCACCACTGGTACTCAGACAACCTGTCAGTGGTACCTGTTAGCAGATTTGTTATAATTTCTTCATATGACAAAAATTTGCTGGTAGTACTTAGGTTGTATCTTTTTAAACTGGTGGTGCACAATCTGTCAGTGTTTGGGAACCGCTATTGTAAACCAATGCAATGTTGTCTTTTGAGCCTGCAAACTCCACGACTTACAGGACGTAACAAGACATTATTTATTATGTTTTGTTTTCATAAGTGTGAACCACAGCTCAGTCTTCTTCCTAAACTGACAGATGTCCTCTACTAGCAACCTAATCTGCCCCCCACGATGTTAGATTAAAATGAATTGTGACTTTGATGTGTATAACCACAACTGAAAGGACTCTCAAAAGTACTTCTGAAAACCTACAGAAGAAAAGACCAGATATATTTTTCAGTTACATTAGCTGAACTGCACATATAAGTCTCATGTTTGGTTTGGAAGTGCATGCAGTCTGAGACAGTAGGAATCTTTGTTTGTTAACATAATGAGCCCAGTATCACACTTGATGAGTTTCCTGTTTTCCATAGATCAAACAGTTGGTGCTGGAAGAGCAGATAGAGTTGGTGACCTTTACTGTTGGTCACGGGACATGTGGCATTAGCTACATTACCAATTCAATATGCCTTGTCCTGTACTTTAGGATCATCAAGGATCCCACTAATATCCTCAACTCCGTTTCCAAACATAAGCATTTCCAACCTTTTTACAAGAACTGCAAATACAAGCTGCAGTATGCTGCTCCATGCTATAAAATGCACAAATCCTATATTCGTGCTTTTAATATGTACATGCACCCAGGCGGTACTTAAAAACACTTACAGGTTTTTGGAATCTTCCAGGTGCACAATGACTTTTGCAGGACTAAAAAACTAAACTCATCCAGGATTTACAAGATTAAGCCTGTCTAAGAATTTACAAATCATAGCAATAGCCAAAGATAAAAACAGATCATGGATTACAAGTAACATATAATGTCTTGAACAACTACATGAGGATTTCTTATAATCTTAAAGAGTTTAAATGATAGGTTACTTACACATAAAGCAAAACAGGCATGTTTTCTGGAAGCTTTTCTTCATAGGATGATATATGAATTCAGTTAACAGTAAAAAAGAACTCATCTGCTGCCAAAGAATCTATGTAGCAAAGCTAAACAGAAGAAACAGAGAAGTTAAAGCAGAATTATACAAACATGTACAAAAATTAACTAGAGCCCGGCTGATGTGATCCCAGAAGAATAAATGCATTTATTCAAGTGGGATATTTATTACCAAGTGAAATAAAAGAAACCCTCACAAGAGGATGCCATTTAATCAAAATATATCTTCATTATGAAGATAGAAGTAAGTTCCCATAGGAAAACAACAGTTAGCAAGGCAAAGGGAATGTCTAAAGTTTCTCCGTCATTATCAGCAAATGATTTATCTTGGATCTTAATCAAGTTAATAAAATACACTCCATTAAAATAACCTTCAAATTAAAACAGCAACTTTTTATAAATGACATGGGCAATCAGCGTCTTCAGGTCACATCTAGTACTGTAAATAAAAACGAAAATGTTGTAAGTGAACACAGCCATCCCCACATACAAAGGAAACACATTTGGGGGATATCTAATTGCTATTTTCCTATTGTTCTAGTGTATCAGGTTTACCAAGTAAATTAATTGAAGCATCTGTTAAATGCCCACTACTTCTAGACATTTAACATATACTGCCATTAATCTACTTGGCTGGACACTGTGTTCAATGAAGTAAAGTTTAAAATAGTGTTCAGAATTGAAGTGTTAGTTTATTTAAATTACAGCAGCAAGAAGAAGGTAAATATCATGAGGGACCTATGACAACATTATTTTTAAATGCAAAGAAAAGGACAAAAGCTTTTCCCAAAATCAGGAAATCAGAGGTAGTCAATAATTACCCCAAATACTCTGCCATAGGCAAATGACTAGCCTTATTATGTTCCTTCCACTCAAAAAAGACAAATGGGCCTCGTATCATGTCCTGAATGTCACAAAAGTTTTAGAGCAAGAGAATGGAGTGAATGTCAACATCCCTTCTCACTTTGGTTGCCACAGGTTACTGGTAAACCAAGTTTTTCCACCCAGCAAGAACAAGGACAGAAGAAGAAATATAGAGACTATTTCATAACTGAGGACAAAAGATCAAGATAAAGCAACAGAGGTGCATGGTAAGGGAACAGTATTCTCCCTCCAAGCTCTCTGGAGATCAGGATAACCAGTTTACAAGGATGGCTATCATCTAAACTTGCCCCCCTACTCAAAACCGCACCATCATGTAATACCAGACATGTACCAGGATCAAATGCTACTTACCCTAGAGCAATCCTAACACAAACAGAAGATCAAGAGGGACAGACAGCCCTCCGTATCTGAGATGGCTCCATTTCAGTTTTGCTAAATATACTTAGTTTGTGAAAGGTCCTAAGATACTTTGGGATGAAAGTAATGTATAAAAGATAAAGCTCACCCCAATTGTTGCATCGATGTTTTATTAAAGTAAGAGGCAATATGAAAAAAAACAAAAAACAAAACATGACTGGTATTAGCACAATTACTGCCTTCTAAATTGTGCCATGACTCTGGAGTTCAAATGCTTCCTTTGACAAAGAAGAAGTATGTCAAATTCTGTCATGGCTCATATGTTAGCAAATGGAGAGTCATGTGTTCACTGAAGTATGAAGTGCCGGCACACGTAATTTTCTACTGGAGAATTCCTCCAGAAAAGCAGTTAAAACTTTATTTGAATGGGAAGGAAATGGGGCTGTTTTTGAAAAGAACATGCCTTTGATTCTGCCTCTGAACTTGAAATACTGGAACACCCACAAAGACAAGGGTGCTTGGTAATTGCCCAAGGATCTATGCTGCTCCCAGAGCAGCTATGCTGCAGCATGATCCCTGCCAGCTGTCATAACCCAAGGGTGTGATTTTTGTTTTTGTGTGCGCTTTGGCACCACTGAATTATTTTCCCGCCAATTTGTAGCTTTCTTTGCAGTGTGCATTTCTTCTTTGCAGCACAGAGATGCACGGTGCAAAGAGTTCCCGCCGTTTGTATTCTAATTCGAGCCCCATTGTTGGCTTGCATTAAATTATTCCCCGGTGGCGGCTAGCGATTGGCTTGCTAGCCGTATAAAAGGCTTGGGTGGTTTCCGCCCAAGTTGGAGAACTCCGAGGAGAACCCCCGCAAGGGAGGACTCCATGAACATCAGGAGGAGGAGACTTCACGCTGTGTGAAGATCTCTAAGCGCTGCGGAGCCTATTGGACCCAGCGCGTTTCAAGCAGGCAACAGGGGTCTGATCAGCCTCTAGCCTCTCCCCGTCACCGTTCGCAATCCTTCGACATACCCCTCTCCCTGCGCGCAAAAGAATCCACGGAGCCTCGACAACTCTGTGGGAGTGATCCGAATATTGTCTGAGTCCTCAAACGAGGATTTAAGCGGAGCTGTACCTGGGAAACTGTCCAGCCTACACCTCGACCATCTTCGGTGTAAGTAAACAATCTTGAATCAACCATTACGCGTCCGTGACTAATTCTAGCGTGTCGCCTGTTCTCTCCGACCCAGCGTGCCCGGGCTGCTGGCCACAGCCCGCGCAGAGCACAAAAAGGGCCCGGATCGCTCCCGGCCCGCACACCAGCCACTGCAAAAATCTCCCCTCTAATATATTTGTAGTGACAAAGGAGGAGTTATTGCTAGTTCAGTCAATTTGGGGTATATTTTCTGACAAATCTAATCAGGACCCAAGAAGAGGGCCCACTGTGGCAAAAGTTTGTCAATCCCTGCTTTAGAGAACTCTGTCTGAGATTTTAAAATACAGAACTGGATTTTATCATCACCAGAGGGAGCTGTAGTATCGTAAACCCATGAACTCTTGTTAAAAATGCACACTGCATTGACTTCCCTAACTAGCCTTAATGCAGCTGGCAAGGGAAAGAAAAAGCAAAGGATGAACATTTCCTGTATTCCAGAAGCTTTTTATGTCTAATTTATTAGAGACCTTACTTGTCCAAAGTTGGTCTCACAAATAACGGGTTGAGATGTCTTCCAGAAGGTCTGAGGTGTTGGGATATGAACGGAAGGGAAGACAGGCAACTCATCCAGTCACAACCATCTATCAAATAGCTTTTGGGGAATTTCAAAAATTCAAAGGCTAGTCAAATACTGTTTGCAGATGTTATTCATCAAATACTGGTTAAAATCACTGAATAATATATTCAGTGGATATTTATTTTTCTGTTGTTTGGGCAGCCCTGGTAGTAAGGTATATTGAGGATACCCCATGTTCTTGGGAAACAACAGCTATGCCATTCATTCTCTGTGTATGAAAAAACATAGCCATTTTGGGTGCTACTTCATGTAAAATAACAAGATAAAGGTAGCAGTGCTATAATGAAATATTCCGCTGAATATGAAAATATTGCATTTTACACATAGAACCAATGACATTCTCACAGGCAGACCTTGCACCCAGAAACTTATCCTGCATCCAGTATCCCCTCCTTCAGTCAAGAAGGGGATACCAGAGATATCAGCAAAACGGTATTTCCTTAGGCTAATCACCACCACCACTCAACAGTAAAGACTGTTCACAATTTCAATTCATACCAATGTATCCAAAAACTGCATTAACATTAATACCAGATGCTTGGACTGTTCCTTGGGTTTCACCTCACATTCTTGTACTTTCCAATTATTTCATAGCATTTCAGAGATTTTGTTGTCAACATCACTGAGCTAACTGAGGCAAAGATTCACATCTGTCTTGTTGTGGCTATGATGGTCCAGGAAATATATGAGAAGCAAGGTTTTATTGCTCATATCTTTTATTAGACCAACTGTATAGTTGAGAGAGATGTTAGATGAGCCTTTGAGAACAAAGTGCCCTTCTTTAAGTTTGGTAAAGAAGCTTAGGCTGCCTTGGTCCTAATTTACAAAAAAGTTTTTAACAAATTAAGTCTCAGATACATTAAAGTCCAAATTCTATTCTATAAGCCACAATGATTGCCCTAATCCTCTTGGAGGAATGAAAAGCACAAAAGCAGGTGAAAGCTGGGGACACAGTATTATTTTTAGATAGAACCAACTCAGCTACAGGAAACACTTCCAGAGACAAATGGGTAAATATGGTCTCATTAAAATCACCGCAAAGTATTTCCCTTTCAAAAGACCTTTCTACCTTAAGAGTGAAAGTGACAGTAGGGACATACCGTCTAACAAACTAACAACCAAAAGGAGAGAAAAAAAGAATTAATAAAATCTAAAAATCAAACTCCAAGCCCCTTCCCCAAAACAGAGAACTGTCAAAGACTTCACTATTGATACTGATTTTATACAGTGGAGATAGATATACCAGAGGTAAGCACCAATATAAAACTTTAAAATAGGTTGTGATTCTGTCCATTTTGGAAACTAAGTATGATAGTTATAGTAAATATTCGAAAAGCTATTCAGGATAATTCATCCAAGGAAGTGAGATCAGCCTTTTCTATTTATTTTGTGCATACATGAAGTTGCTAGGCTAAACAGGTACACAGAAAAAAATGTTCAGCTGCATTATTTATGGTCACACATGAAATTACTGTTATACAGAAACCTAGTAGATCATCCAGAATAAACTGCTGGGTAACTGAAATGTCACATTTGCTTCTGTCTGAAAAATGTGAGAGTAGGAAGATGGAGGAATATTTGTTTCCATGAAAGACCTTTATTGATGAGATCTCTGTTGAAATTATATTTAAGGATTAATATGTTTAATCCCCAAATTACTATTTTTCTCATGTTCAGAGCTTTGATGGCAGCATTAGGCATGGATATATTTGAGAGGATATGAGAATAGCAATAGACATGTACCAACTTCCATATTATTTAATTTTAGGTAAGGAAATTACTTCTCTTGCAATTCTGCTTCTTAAAAGATAAATTTCACTGAGCTCTTATTCTTGAACACCTCATCTGAACCACTCTCAGATGCTGGTCCCTGCTTGACCTTGGCCCCATCCCATCCACCCGGCTGAGCATGCCCTTTCACAGACTGCCAGGGTGGATGGGCAGGGGTGCTCAGACATCAGGGCCAGGTCTGGTGGTGGTGGCAGCAGAGAAACGGGCAGCAGCAGCCAGGCCGAGTGAGCTGC